AGAAAAATAAAGCTGACACCCTCATTCCAAAGCACAATATAATCTGACTAAAGGGAAGAGCAAATCGATATAGATTTAATTCCTTACCATGATTGTGTTCTTGAGGGGAAATTGTAGCTCAAGCTGTGCAAAGTATATGGTCACTTTCAGATACAGCATAAAACCAAGGCAACCACAAGATTGAGGAAAATTAAAGATCTGATTCAGTGACGCTGCCTACTAAGTCTCTCTGAGTCATTTAAAGTGTGGCGGCCGGCCATAATGAAAGAAAAATAAAGCTGACACCCTCATTCCAAAGCACAATATAATCTGACTAAAGGGAAGAGCAAATCGATATAGATTTAATTCCTTACCATGATTGTGTTCTTGAGGGCCTGTGGGTTGTGTGATTATTTCTGATTGAATTGAAGGTGGCAGTTCAGGCAGTTTGATTCCGACCCCACACTGATCCCTTTAGGTGCATGTGGCATTTGTTTACCATCTTTGTGTATAGACGAAAACCAAGTGAACATATCCATGAAATTACCATTTTAAAGTAAGATCAGGCATTTTAACAAGGTCATGTGCGTAGAGGTCAGAGGTCGGACCTTTAATTCAAAGCATCATTACCTATTGATTAGGTCTAAGAAATGGGTCTCTTTTAAAGATGCTAAAGAGACAGAATAAGAAAAACTTGCGTTCATTACTCTCGTTCCAAAATCTATGCACCACAGTTGAATCAATACAGTAAATTAACAGGGAATGTTAAGAAGCATCCCACGACATACAGGAAGCCAAATTAAATGCATAAGGTGGGTTTTCGAACAAGCGTTTTTGTGCTTACTGTAGCGGCTGCAGGGCGACGGCGTGTGACCGTGCGTTTCTGCAGTGACACGATCAGTCGTGCATGAACGTCTCAGTTCTCGGATCCATCAGTATGCTCAAAGCGCAAGGACTGCGGATTTGTTGGGCCCGTCTTTTTGCAAATCTCATGTATCAAAGGCCAGAATTAGCCACAAAGCTATGACGAGAATAAGAATCAGGTTTATCCTGATTATGGGTGGAGTTTTATAAATGGTCCTTCTGTGCAAATTATGTTGAGTTAGCATTGCAGCTGGAGGAGTTTGATTGTGTGATAGTTGTTTTACAAAAATGTGTTCACTACTTACTGCATTGGGTTCAGGCAGCGTGTTGATGTTCAGCTCATCGCGCTGGACCTGAGGGGAGGGGCGAGGAGCAGGAAGGGGCGTGCCTTCTACTGGACGAGGGGTGGAGCTTCCCATGTTATCAATGGCATTACCTGTTTGGTAAAGAGACCGGGTGAGTTTTAGGCTTCATTTACTTAAGTCCTATTTGCAAAATAAGAAAAGATAATGATCTAAAGTATAAAACATTTTAAAACCAATTATAAATCTCAAGAAATGTAAGAAATTAGAATTTCGTGGGTTTTAGTTCGTCTGTTATGCTTGTCTACTCTGAAAATTGATAAAATATACTTAAAGTCCGTACCCACATTTAACATTTACAGTCATCTGATAAAATGGATAAAATATTGATATCAGCTTCTGTGCAGGGGTGTATATAAACACATAGCTCAGATCATTTTGTTGAATTTGATGAGAAATGCTTCAGTTCATATTGAAATCTTGACTGCAGAGAAATAGATATCATAGTTTAAGCATAGCGTTGACATCTATTCTGATATTTTAAAGCAGACACACACATTGTTTAAAGGTTTGGGGTCAGCAACATTTTTTAAGAAGTCTTTTATGCTCAACAACAGTAAAAACAGTAATACTGTGAAATATTATTACAATTTAAGTATATTTTAAAATGTAATTTATTCCTTTGATGCAAAGCTGAATTTTCATTACTCCAGTCTTCAGTGTCACATGATCCTTCAGAAATCATTCTAATATGCTGATTTACTGCTCAAGAAACGTTTTTAAAAATGTACATACATTTAAAATTGGAAAGAAAAAAAAATGTTTACGATGCCCCCTACAAAAGTTTATCTGTTGGTGCTGCTGTGGAATAGTGGTACTTTAGAACAATTTTATTTAGATTTTTATTTTTATTTATATATATGTATTTACAGTGTTGGGGGTAATATATTACAAGTAACGCGAGTTACGTAATCAGATTACTTTTTTCAAGTAACTAGTAAAGTAACGCATTACTTTTTAATTTACAAGAGAATATCTGAGTTACTTTTTCAAATAAGTAACGCAAGTTACTTTTTTTCAATTTATTGACTGACAGCTCTCCTGTCCCCATGTTGAGAGAAATCAGAAGATGTTACTGTAGTTCTTTTATTTTTATTTATATATATGTATTTATTCATATTTTGAATTGGCTTTATTATATATTTTCCTTTTTATATTTTCTATATTTGTATATTTTATATTTTATATTCAGTGTTCAGTTCAGTTTAATTTAATTTAGTTATTTTATGTGCTTTAGTCATTTTTATTCGTTTGTATTTTTTATCTTAATTAGTGCTGTCAAACAATTAATCGCGATGAATAAACTGTTGATGCAACTGTGGGTTCTGCTTTGTCTTTAAAAAGGCACTAGTTTTTAAAAATGTACATACATTTAAAATTGGAAAGAAAAAAAAATGTTTACGATGCCCCCTACAAAAGTTTATCTGTTGGTGCTGCTGTGGAATAGTGGTACTTTAGAACAATTTTATTTAGATTTTTATTTTTATTTATATATATGTATTTATTCATATTTTGAATTGGCTTTATTATATATTTTCCTTTTTATATTTTCTATATTTGTATATTTTATATTTTATATTCAGTGTTCAGTTCAGTTTAATTTAATTTAGTTATTTTATGTGCTTTAGTCATTTTTATTCGTTTGTATTTTTTATCTTAATTAGTGCTGTCAAACAATTAATCGCGATGAATCATTTGACAGCACTAATTTTAATATTTCTATTTAACTAATATTCTAACATGGTATTTCTATTTAAACTTTATTTCAGTTTCAGTTTTTAGTCATTTTAGTTTAAACATATTTTATTTCAGATAGTTGCCTAAACTATTTCATCTTATATTTAGATATTTTATTTTAGCTTTATTTCAACCATTTTTAATAGCTTTGGGTGACAACAACACAAAAATAGTGATTTAAAAAAAAAAATTACTAGTGATTTAGCTGTTTAATAAATCATTTGATTTTTTTTTATATCTAATGCTATTTTGTACTATTCATTTTGTAATTTTGTAACTAATTTTTTTAATGTCTTACTGCCTCTTCTGAGAAAATGCCTTTCACTGACCATATGTGACTCTGGCCCACAAAACCAGTCATAAGGTCAATTTTTGTCGGAAATTGAGATTTATACAGGTTAGGATATGACAATATTTGGCCGAGATACAGCTATTTGAAAATCTGGAATCTAAGGGTGCAAAAAAAAATTAAAGTTTTTAAAGCCTTTAAAGTTGTCCAAATGAAGTTCTTAGCAATGCATATTACTCATCCAAAATTAATTTTTAGTATATTTACAGTAGGAAATTTACAAAATATCTTCATGGAAAATGATCTTTACTTAATATCCTAATGATTTTTGGCATAAAAGAAAAATCTATAATTTTGACCCATACAATGTATTTTTGGCTATTGCTACAAATATACCCCAGCGACTTAAGACTGGTTTTGTGCTCCAGGGTCACATACTGTATGTGTCCATGCTGAAGGATAGTCTGCATTCTCCAAACATTTCTCATTTATATTCTTGTTTAAATACAAGATGCGTCTAATCATATAATATGCGACCTGTTGTCCTTTCTTCCATCCAACTCAGCATGTTCTGTGCTATTAATGATGCTTAGATAAGCATTACTGCCAGAGACATCTGTTTCTAGAGGAAGATAAAAGGAAAGTCTTGTATTTCAAGAAGAAAGGTGGAAATGATCATGCTGTGCTGTTATCAAAGCTGAGGTTAGGTTTGAATGAGGGGAAGAACATCTGATGAGACTGTAATATGTCACAATCAGTTACACAAATTGGTTCTTTCAAACAGTTAATTTCAAAGAACCCATTTAAAATATTGAATCAGCAGATCTTTACATTGTGTTTTTAACATAACGGGTGTTTGTTGTTATGTGTCCCAGTTCAGTTTGTTGCAGCCATGAGCTATGAATTTAAATATTCAAATAAAAAAATACAAAAATTCATATACATCTCTTGGCTGAAAATGTTTTTGCAAGTTTTATAAATTGCAATTACATACATATAATTTCTTACCTATTATTCTAACATATGTCATTTATTTTTATTAATTTATTAATATACGCAACTGTTCAAAAGTTTGAGGTCGGTAAGTGAAAGAAGTCTCTTATGCACATTAAGGCTACATTTATTTGATTTAAAATACAGTAAAAACAGTAATATTGTGAAATATTATTACAATTCACAATATCTTTTCACTATTTGATTACATTTTACAAAATTAAATGTATTCCTGTAATGGCAAAGCTGAATTTTCAGAATGCGTTTCTCCAATCTTCACTGTCACATGATCCTTCAGAAAGGTTTGTTTTTTATTATCGTTGTTGAAAACTTGGTGTGTGCGTGTGTGTGTGTGTGGAAACTGTGATAGGATTCTTTGAAGAACAGGCAAAGGCACAGGCAAAAAAACAGCATTTGTTTGAAATATAAAATATTTTGTAACATTATAAATGTCTATTTAATGCATTTAAAAAACTTTTGAATGGTATGGGACATTTTCTTAGAACAGGCAGTAAACATTAATTTGTATGTTACTTTTATTTGTAACCTTTTTGGGTATAAACTCTTGATGGTTTGGTTTAATGCGTTTGTGAGTTGTTGACTTTGAGTTGCTATATGACTTTGTGAGTTGTTTTATTCACTGATTAGTGAATAAAACATTCACATATGTTTTGTGAACTAGTTTGGCTGATTGATTTAAAATCTCAGATTCGAAAGCATGACTGATTCACAAATCAGATATGTTTACTATGTCCAGCTGCTAACAGACATGTATCTCACCTGCACAGGTTGTCTTTGAGGCAGTAACTCTCCAGATTGAGGCAGTTGGGCTGTCCATCTCGCTCCTCATAGGAACAGGAGGGCACGATGGTTTTTCTCCTTCTCTCTCCACACAGAGTATCCGAACAAGGACAAAATAAGACACCAAAGCTGTACTCCTCTGGAACACGCTCCAGGAACCTCCGCAGGGCCCGGTGACATTTGTGCCGGTTACAGTGGTTCGTGCCAGGTATGATCTTAGTGCAAGCTAACGCGTACTCAGAGCGCAGGGAACCGCACTTCTCGTACAACCCACAGTCCTGAGCTGCTTTCAGACACTGGTTCTGATCCGCCAGAGGAAGGGAGGACACTGAGAAAGAGGAAAAAACACTTATATTTAAGTGTCCAAATGCTTTTTGGGCCTGTATAAAGCAGTATGTTATGCCTTTTATATTTCACACACACTGTACAAAAATATTTTTGGAAGTTGTAAATAAAATCTAGATTACTGGAGCATGTTTTGCAAGAAAATACTATTAAAAAAATTCTACTTCAACATTTTACAATCAAAGGAATAGTTCACCCAAAAATGAAAATTTGCTGAAAACTAACTTACCTTCAGGCAATCCAAGATGTAGCTGAGTTTGTTTCTTCATCGGAACAGATTTAGAGAAATTTAGCATTACACTTGCTCATCAATGGATCCTCTGCAGTGAATGGGTGCCGTCAGAATGAGAGTTCAAACAGCTGATAAAAACACCAGAATAATCCACAAGTAATCCACACAACTCCAGTCCAACATTTAATGTATTTTAAAGTGAAAAGCATCTGTTAGAAACTAATCCATCATAAACTGTCACTTCTGTGTAAAATCAGTCCATAATCCATAATATATTGATAACGCTTCCTCCAGTGAAAATGTTCATCAACTTTTGTCCTCTCACATCTAAATCCACCAACAAATTTGTTTAGAACTGTTTTAGGCTGTTTTCACTTGTAAACTGTTTCTCTCATGATTCAGATGAGACTACCTTTTCACACGAGAAATAAATATTATGGTTTGATAAACAAAAAACATCTTGATGTTTTATTTATTACAAAAACATAGCTTTTCGCTTCACAAGGTGTTAACTGATGGACTGGAGTCGTGTGGAGTATTTGTGGATAATTGTGATGTTTTTATCAGCTGTTTGGACTCTCATTCTGACGGCACCCATTCACTGCAGAGGATCCATTGGTGAGCAAGTGATGTAATGCTGAATTTCTCCAAATCTGTTCAGACGAAGAAACAAACTCATCTACATCTTGGATGGATTGAGGGTGAGAACATTTTCAGCAATTTTTCATTTTTGGATGAACTACTCCTTTAATTCGATATGTTACTTGCCATTTCTTTGTAACTATTTGTGAAAGTTACTAGCAATTTCTGAGTGAAAATGGTTCCAAAGTAAAACCTACACATTTTTTTCAGTGTAGAAAAAACAACTGCAAGACAAAGAAAACATATTAAGCACAAACATACAAGCATACAACGATACACTGGCGTACATCATCACAGTGCATTCAGCTATGGAGGAAAACACATTTTGTTTGGTCGGATCACTGATGTGGCTTCAGTACCTGAAACTATTGAGGCTAGTTTTGATGTTTCGCTATTTCTCACAAGTTCCAGTTCAATGTCTTCATATGGGGACGTCTCAATGTCATCATAACCTGCAATACAAACACACACATAACCGTTTGAGACTAATTAAGCTCACCAAACTGCACCATTACCTTATCATTACGCCTAATTAACAGCACAGCATATCATCAAATATCATACGGTATTTCTGTAATTATGATGCATAGTCTTACAGATTTTAATAAGAGGTCAGTGTTTGAGATATATGCATTGGTTGAACTGTCAGTCCACAGATTGAAGGGTCTGGATCAAGACACAAGTTAAAATAGAGACCAGTCTATTTGTATCACACAACCCTGGAGACACTGCATGCCAAGATGACACACACACACACACACAAGCTTGTAGTGTAGGTTTTTTTCTTGTGGGGACTTTCTGTTCATATTTATTTAAAATATGATAAAAGATGAAAAAAGATAATGAATGAGAATTTAAAATATTAACCTATTAACGTATTAAGTATTAACGTATCTTGTCCTATACTATTTTTGCTACAAACACGAATGACATAGTAATTATATAGTAATATAGGCAAGGCAAGGCAAGGCAGGTTTATTTATAAAGCACATTTCGTACACAATGGTAATTCAAAGTGCTTTACATAAAAGAAAGTAAAATAATCATAAAAATAATAATAATCACAAAAATAAAACAAGGAATTTAAAAACTTTGAAGATCATTGAAAAATGTATTTTAAATGAATTTAAGACAGTTAAAAATAGAAAATGATTATACATACATAAAATTTAGTGCAATCAGTTCGGACATCGCACAGTGCTCATTCAATAAATGCACAGCTAAACAGATTTTTGTCAGTTTTGAGTCTAGATTTGAATGTGATTAATGTTTTAGCACATCTGATCTCTTCTGGAAGCTGATTCCAACTGCGGGCGGCAAAATAGCTAAAAGCAGATTCCCCTTGTTTTGTGTGAACCCTTGGTATTTCTAACTGACTCGATCCTAATGATCTGAGTGGTCTGTTAGGTTTATATTCAGTGGGCATATCTGCAATGTATTTAGGTCCTAGGCCATTGAGTGATTTATAAATGAGTAAAAGTACTTTAAAATCAATCCTAAATGTAACTGGAAGCCAGTGTAAGGACCTGAGGACTGGTGTGATATGCTCAGATTTTCTGATTCTTGTCAGAATTCTGGCAGCAGCGTTCTGGATGAGCTGCAGCTGTCTAATGGTCTTCTTGGGAAGGCCGGTGAGGAGACCATTACAATAGTCCACCCTCCTGGTGATAAAAGCATGAACAAGTTTCTCCAAGTCTTGACTAGAAACAAAACATCTAATTCTTGCAATGTTTTTGAGATGATAGTATGCTGATTTAGTTACAGCTTTGACATGACTACTGAAACTAAGGTCTGTCTCCAGAATCACACCAAGATTC